TATTTTTATACAGAATAAACTCTTTTATTTTGTAGGACTGTAACTTCCTAAGTAGTTTGCAGGAAGGTAATTTACTGTCTTTTAAGTACATTTTGTCACTAATTGTTGCATTTGCAAAGAAGCATTTTAAAATTCTGATCTTGCTACTTTCAGATCTAAGAATTTGTTATGACTAATTCATGGTTATTGTATTTAGAATCAATAAATACATAATTAAATGAACGCATTTTGTGGACGTGAATTTTTGTCTGTTTAAGGACTGTCAGCACATGTGCCAGAAAAAAAACAAAAAAAAAAACGGTCTTGTTTCGCACTCGGAACACATGTCATGATGTTTGGACTGTAGTTTGCAGTCAGTCCTGGTTTTGTTCAGCAGTTGCAGACATTTCTACTTGACTTTATCAGGTTGTCCAGCTAAACACAATAAACAAAGCATCTTTTCTTCTGCTGTAAGCAGGCAGTCACCATGTTTTCTGAACGTGTCCAAGTATATCTCTGATTGTGGTGTATATAGGAGTGCATGCAAGTACGCTGTTCTGAATGTGACTGTTGATTAGTGAGCTCGAAAGGGTTCACTAATGATTAAAATTATTTAATATTATTTACTAGCAGTCGAAAAATAAACATCCATGACTTCATAAACAAGTTAGAGCTTGGTAACTTGAGAATTTCTACTTTCGAGGATGTGAATACCACAAAAAACGGTGTTCATGTGGCGCCTTTAAATGAGGTTGAGTTCTCTGTGGTCACTGAATGCCTCCATATGAACACCCCCTACCTGTATTCACAACATCGTAAGTGAAAATTGTGTAATGTTATGACGTGTTTGCTGATATGTCGGAGGCCACGTAAGTTCATTTTTCAGTGAATGGTAAATTAATATATTTTTATATATCTGCTGATGTTGACCTCACTGCTGATGTTATCGCCTGAACAGCAAACATTTGGTGTTCATAGTTTTCCATGTCCTTATTACAAGCTCACAAGTTCCATTTAAAGGCAACAAATGGACTCTTCTCATTAACTTGGTAAACACAACACCATTTAAACTGTTTCCAGTCTTTATGCTAAGCTAAGCTAAAAGGGTGCTGGATAGAATAGAATAGAATAGAATAGAATAGAATAGAATAGAATAGAATAGAACTTTAATGATCCCTTTGGTGCAAACCTCAGGGAAATTGTTGATATATAGAATATATATAGAATATAAAGACATCGCTCCTCTCATTTTACTATCAGCAAGAAAGTGCATAAAGGTATTTGGAAAGTCAAGTTAGTGATTAGAACACTGTTTTTTATATAACTGATAGTGCCACTGATAATCACTTCCTTGTGATAAACAGTGAAACCCAGCACTACAGAAGCCTTAACAAAGCTTCTTTTCACTCAGACAGATCCAGCATTAAAGTACCGTTCTTGAGAGTGGCTCCGTGTTTTTGGCTCGGAGTCTGAAGGTGAATGTCTGCGTGGACTGAAACCTCTCCGCTCTTCACTGCACTCAGAAATGTGTCTGGTAGGCCGGTGAAGTCTGCTCAGATAAACAGAGAAGAGCTGTGACTCCAGCTGCCGCCGAGCTTGAGTAAATATTAACAGGATCACAAACTGCCCTTGGCTTGTAAGATTAAAAAACCCACACTGATATTATGACTGCCATAAACAATAAGGTAGAGGTTTCATTATTTGGGATCCTTGGTGTATTCAGGCCAACTGTCTTCACCATAACAAAAAGCAAAGCCTCAGAGGCTCAGATGTCACCTGGATTCACTCCAGCTATCCCCAAACTAAAGACCGTCTGAGCCACAGACACCTGACACCCTCGGAGAGAATAAACAAGTACGAAAAGTGTACAGTAGATTAGAGTAAGTACACAGTAGCGTTGTATACACAGAGGGAAGAAGACGGAGCACACACCAGTTATTTTGTCATAATCTGGAGTCTGCGAGCCGGAGCTGCTGCTCTCCATCATGTCCTGCCGTCTCTGCTGCACCACCCCATCCAGGTCAGAGAAGTCTCCAGAAAAGTCCTGCAGCGCACATGCAGGAAAATATACAATGGATACCACATGCACAGTGGGTGTTGTATAACATGAGAACAAGGCACTTCTATAGATCCTTTATCGCATTAGAACATATACAATGAACACATCCTGTCGAAAAACATCCCAGAAAAAGGACGGACAGACCCCTGACTGACCAGAGGAAGTGAGGACGGGCAGTTGACTCTGAAGCTGTTTTCACAGGAAGTAACGGGGCTGCTGCAAGTCTTATCCACCTGCAAGGACAACAGACACATTTTTGAATACAGAATGGAAAATGTTTTTTCTCTTTTAAAGCTTTGTTGACATTTTTAGTCACTTGTGGGCAAATACTGAAAAACCTGTGAACACAACACTGACAGATTATCATATAAAGTTGTTACAGCTAATGTGGTAGCAAACATCCCATTTCTAGGCACTTGGTGAATATCACACTCTTCTTCTAACAAATTAAACCAGTCATGCTCCTTGTTTTAGTTTCCACCAAGTCATGAGCAAAATATCTGGCCTTCAGCAACTAAATGCTACACAGTGTAGTTAGCTAGCTGCTACTTTATTTTCCTGCCATTTGGTGCTGGACAGGTCACACACAAGCTTTTTCTGGCTAACCAGTTTAGGACAGAAACATGAGCATTGTGCAGATCTTTTGTTTAGCAAACAACTGTCTATTTAAACATCCCACAAACACAAACCTACATTAACTTTCTTTTGGTTGTGTTTCTAAGCACTTGTGTTTCCAAACTGTCTGTGTAAACATCCCAAAGACACAAACTATGTCTACATTCATTTAGTTGTATTTCTGGACACATGGTACCACAGAATGTAATGTGTCTTTGACCTCAACCAGTCTTTATGCTAAGCTAACCACATGCTGGCAATAGTTTAAAACTAAGCACACAAGCACAAGCACTGTATCACTTTATTCATTTGGCTAACTATGAGGAAACAGTTGCCTATTTAGGTTTCCACCAACTTTTGATGAAAATATCTGGCCCTAGCAACTAAATGCTCCACGCTGTTGGTTAGCTAGTTGCTACTTTGCTATTTGGTGAAAGGCACTTCACACACAGCTTATTTTTTAGAGATTTTTCTGAAGCACAGTGGTATAGATATAGAACTGGTATCAGTTTTATATGTAGGATAGAAACATGAGCATTGTATGGATGTATATTGTTGATATAAACAACCCTCAGACACACAGCTACATTTATCAATAGCATTCATTTCTTCTTTCTCTAATTACTTTGCAATGTTTAGTTACACTTCTTTTTTTGGTTTCCATCAGTTCCTGAGGTAAATATCTGGCCTTTTATATGTGATACACAGTGTTTGTTAGCTAGTTGCTATTTTATTTTTCTGCCATTTGGTGCCTAGCCGGTCACATACAGCAGATTTTAGGGATATTTCACAAATGAGGTATACGTGCCTTTGAGCACTGCCATGCTACGCTAACCAGCTGCCAGCAGCAGCATTAGCGCTGTTTCACTTTACTCATCTTTATGGCTAACGTGTTAGCAAGTAGTTTCCTTTTGAAACATTCCACAGATAAAGAGCTATAAAGAGCTTTACTTGGTGAATTTAAGTTTCTCCCTTTAGCTCACGGAACTAAAGTAAAACTTTTATGAAAGATTTAGGTAGAAATTACTGAATTGTGTAACTTAGATGATGTGATTTACCTCCAAATGAAGGCAGATGGATTTCAGAAGTTTGTAGGTGGTGTTTCGAGAGAGGAACGACACAAACACATTCTGGAAAAGAGTCACTGGAGTTACTTTCATGTTTAAATCAAAAGAAAAGAAACTGACTATCTCTGTTATCTCAACAGCTTTCTTACCTGCTCATGAGTAGTTTCAATCACAAGGGCGTTTGGCACTAATAAAGCAGTTTTAGTTTTTTTGATAAACGTCACCGACAACACCGGGATTGAAATCTGTCGACGAGAAAATATTCTTTTACTATCAGCTAATCATCAGCAGACAATTCACAGATTACAACTAGGTCAGGTACTTCTTACGGTTATCATACCTTGGTATCTCTGCCAAAGACTTTGGAGTGGAAGCAGATCCAGTTATCAGAGACAAACATCTTGCCCTGATATAAAATATCTCTTTGCAGGGCACAAGTGTAGCCTGTTGGCACATACACATTCACATTAGGAATCTAGCATTTGTTTGCTTCTGATCTGAAAATAGAATCTGAAACTTACTTTGTTTGAGTAATTCATCTTTGCCTACTTCCTTGAATAACTTATGATACTGGGCGTTTGTCTTCGATAACTGAAAATAACATACGTCTTTGTTAAGAAACTAAAAAAACTTGAAAATCTGTGAGGAGTTTGGTGAGAGATGAAAACGTGTCCCTACCTGGTTGGGTTGTGATTTCTTTCTTTCAAACTTTGTCTCAAAGTCACTCAGACTGAGCACCGGTGAAAGCTGCTCCACAGGTTTCAATCTGCAAATAAAGGTCAGTGTTTATGGTGAAGTGTCATGGGAACACCTGTGTACAGGTGAGAGACATGAGCTGCAGGAGGAAAGCTACTCTTGCAGTATTAAAACTCAAACACGATACTATGAGGCAAAACAAAACGTCCTTCATCTGGCTGTGCGTGGAGTCACCTGTGGTTATGTAAAGGCTGCTTACACAGCAACAAACCAACTCTGTAAACAGCACTTTGGTTATGCAGGTATAGAGTAGGACAGGTGCTACTGAAGTGTTGGAAAGTGAAAAACAAACTGAATTTCTGCCAGTTTCAGGGAATTATGCAATCTAATTTTCATGAATCATTCTTTGAATTAGTTAGCCAATATAAAACACACATTTTAGCTGTTAATATGCCATGAAAGACGAATATGTGCCACAACTTTGCCCCTGACTACTAACCCAAAGTCTGATCCAAACACCAAAGTTAAAATTCAGCAAGAAAGTGATAATCTTCTCAATGAATCGGTTAATTGTTTGCTCTGTAAATATTGTGAGTCTAATATGATTGCTCATTTTATCACACACTTATTAATATTCAGTTTACAAATACAAAAAGAAAAGCAGCACTTGAGAAGCCAAAACCAGAGAAATTGGTGCTTTTTTTTTGCTTGAAAAGCCACAAGATACACACAGTAAATAAATGGTTTATAACACATTCGTATGCAGCTGTAGTGTATAAGCACATAATGAGTGGCAGCACCACTGATGCACACATAACAATGCCTGTAAATGTGCTTATAACAACATTATAGAGCAATAACCATCAAAACCTTATATAGAGCTAATAAATACTAAATATAGAGGTTAAAACGAATGTGCAGCCAAACATAACAAAGCAGTTCACCTCATGCTGCCGGCTGGTTTCTTCCTGCTCTCTGAGGGCTCTGGCTCTGCATCCAGACAGAGGTGGAGGTCTGCAGGAGAGCGTCCACGCCTCCTCTGCCTCCCCTCACCTCCATTGTCCACCTCAGGCCTGGAAACAACACACAAGGTTCATAAAGTAGGTGACACAATTCCCACATTGCATGCAGCCTTTAAAGCTGGTTAAAAAGCAGTCAAACCTGCCTTCATACTCCAGCTGCTGCAGGTTTTCACTTGTCTATCCATGTAATGATTTCACATGTTGTTTAAATGGATGATTTAACATCCAGATCACAGTGTTTTACTTGATGTGCACGAATAAACAAATCTACATTATGAAGGATTGGGCTCTGGAGGGCCCCATCAAAACACACATACTTACAAATATCTCTTTAGGTAATGCATCAAATAGCTGGAGCAGACCATCATATCTCCTTCATAAGCACAACATGGCATGAGAAGTTCTGCCATCTAGAATTTCTGCATGCAAATGAAGTCTAGCCCGTGCCACGTACGCGCCACATTCATGCATTTAAAGTCAGCGCAGCCCTTTAATTCAAATACATTGTTTGAGGCAGGATATACATGCAAATAAGACCAAAGCATCACCCCCGAAACGCGACGCGAACCGGGCCCTTCTCCTGCATCTCATCCACACTCACGTCGAGCGGCTCCCCCGGGACTCCCTGCAGGAAAGTTGCTCCGGTGCGGGCAGCGGGGTCAGAGGTCTGTCCGCCTGCTCGGTCATCAGCACCATCATTCACATTTCACAGCTCGCTCGCCTCCGCCATCGGCCGCCGCTGTCGCCGCTTGCGCCACATACAACAACGAAGCTTCAGGAAGCCTTGAAAGTTTGGGACGATCGAGCGAGAAGTCCAGCAGAGGAGGAGCCGGGAAAGAGGGAGGGAGCAGGAGGGAAACACGTCAGGAGCACGGTCCTGCTGCGGATCACCAACTTTGAATACTGGGATAAACTAAAGCGAAAGACACATTTAGCATCCACTTAAAATAAAATATAAACACACAGTGTCCGAGGAGGAGCTGTGTAAAATCTTTGTGTATATATGGTTTCTTGGACACTTCCTATTGCAGAGCGGCTGTCAGTGAACTTTCTGGAGCGTAAAACTGTTTTTGCACAAACTTCACAAAGCATCGTTGTTCCTACGTCAGCCCGGGGGTGCGTTCAGCAGCAGCAGTGTTTCACAGTGCTGCAAAAACTGTATGTTGAAGGTTTAAAAGGCTTATTTAGGGTAAAACCAGTGGTGGATCCAAAAAGTTTTTACGGGGTGGCCAGGCTGAGAAAATGTGGCACATTGCAGATATCTGAAATTCTTTCAAACTCTTCTCTTTTGTTCTTCATTCATGTATATGAGGTTTCTCATTACAGATATCCACATGTCAGCTGTAGATATTGACAGTTGCCGACATCTGCATTTGAATCATGACAAGTTGTGTTTCCAGTTTCACACATCTACAGTTTCGTTCTGACTAGTCGTAACTCTAGTTCAAGATATCTTCAAGTCAAGATTTCTACATTACACCTTTTAGATATCTTAAGTAAACAATACTAGTCAGAGTGGTGTTGCAGATGTTTACCTGGAATTATGCAAAAATGTAGCTACAGTTAGCTTGAATTAGAGTTTTGACTAAGAGATGTTGCAGATATAGAAATAAGAGACGGGCCCTTGCTTTCCAAACATGCTATCCAAACCCTAACCACATGTGACAAGCCGTTTTACCGACATGTCAGAGCAGGCCAAGCCTGAAGTTAAAGAACATTTCATCCACAAGTGTCTAATGAAAGACTCGTTTTCCACAAACTTCTTATTGATGAGCTCTTTCTGTTTCATGACATTTTCAACCATGATTACCAACAAAGTTCATATGTTTTGCTGGACCAGTATCCAATGAGAAGCCTCACAGCACAGCACAGCAATTCAGACATGTTATAATGATGTTTGAGATATTTGCAACTATTATTATGACTAACCAACACTGAATTACAGAGATCTCTAACTGTGGTTTAGACAGATCAAAAGGATGTTATAGATATCTGGATTAAAAACTCATTTTTCATTTCAATCCTGAATCTTCTGTATTTTATGTTTAAATAGCTTGCCATACAGCCCATTACTCACAGTGGGGTGGCATAATGTCTCAGGTTATTTTTGGTCATTTACTGTTATCATTTACTGATGCAGGCAGGACTGCCATGTAGAGAACTCATACACAGTATAATAAGTTTATTTATGTAACCCTTAGTTGGTTAAAATTTGGTCATTGCTTCAGTTGTGATTTTTAAATTGTTGATAAATCTCACCAGACATGTACATATTAAAATACATAAGATAAGTACATGTAACACGTGCCCTTGTTCTGCTCAGGATATCCACCTAGTTGAGACATCTCACTTTGTCTATCCAGCCTTTTGTTTCTTTGTTGTTGCTGCAGTTTCTGGGTCAGTCTTCATTGTTCAGCAGCTTGTACCACTTGTTTCCGCAACTCTTCCAACTAGGTTTCATTTTGAACACCAGAGCCACCAACGTTCCACTACCCCTTGAAACTGCCATTCATCAAAATACACAGTTTTAATGTTAGATAGCAGTGTGTTGTCAATACAGCATGATTGAACTCTTACAGTTATGTTCAGATACTGATAGCACTTTGGTTAGGGCTAGTATTAACCTTAACCAGAGTATCTTTGTAGCCAAACTGCTGCAAGTCAGGGATATCCCTTTTGCTCACCTTACCTGAAGTGCTATTGTTGACCTAACCACACCGTTTTACATAAGATTAGATTCAGCTTTATTATTATTATTACACAGAGTACAAGTACTAAGACGACAAAATGCAGTTTAGCATCTAACAAGAAATGCAAAAGAAGCAGTAAAAATGTCTTCAGTCTTCCTCAAGTCCACAGTGAGTTCTTTGGTCTTGTTGGTATTGAGGTTGTTGTTGTAGGTCGTCTCATCGTTATTGAAGCCCACCACCATTGTGTCATCTGCAAACTTGATAATAGTGTTGGAACCATGTACAGGTGTGCAGCTGTAGATGAACAGCAAGTAGAGAAGAGGACTCAGAACGCAGCCCTGTGGAATGCCAGTGATCAGAATGAGGGCTGAGGAGGAGTATCCTCCTTATCTAACCAACTGGGGCCTGTTGGTGACAAAATCCAGCAGCAGGGAAAGCGTGTTGATGCCAGACTCACAGTGTTTGGTGTCTAGTTTGCAGGGATAATGTTGTTGAACGCTGACCTTAAGTCAGTTAATTTCCCACATTAGTGTTGTTGCTGTCCAGGTGGGAGAAGGCCAAGTGGAGATGGCGTCCTACGTATATTTCTTCTGGCGGTCGGTGATTTGAAGGGGTCCAGTGTGGAAGGTATACAGGTTTTAAGGTTAGCCAGGACCAGCCTCCTGAAGCACTTCATGGTGACTGAGGTAAGTGCGGCTAGGCTTGTTGTGGAGCAGGTGGTTTTGCCTCTAAATTTAAAAGTCACTACCTAAACATAAACTGTTTACTTACATAAATGTAATTTTGTTCGAGACAGATTGTTATGGCCAGTTAAGTGAATAACCCTAACAACGAGCAGCTCTTGTGATGTTGGTCTTCCTCTTTTGCTGCCCTACAATTGCAAGACGAAATGTTTTGGTTTTCTAGAACTCTTCCTCCAAGTTCACGGCCTTCAGCTCATTTTCTTCTTGATGGGCTTCACTGGCACAGAGCTTTGCTTTGAGCTGCCAAATTTCATAGCAGTATCCCTCATCATCCTTTTTGTGTTGAACAACCTGCTCTTCCAGGTCTTTCTAAACTCTTAGGCACTGCTGCTGAAGCTGGTCAATCTGCTGCTGTTGCTTCCTGCAACTCTGGATCTCTGAATAAGCGTGATATTGGTTCTTCTGCATCTATCTGAAAAGCTTTTGCGCTTCAGGTTGGAATCTCCCATTTCTTTGCCACAGGGTTGTCTGCTACAGTCAACCTGTTCAACCTTAACTCATCTCAGATTTAGGCTTGTTGATGTCTGCCCAATGAATCTCATTACTGTGAGACAGTTCCAGCTGCTTTTCGAGTTCTTTAATGATTTTATCAGCTTTTATGTACTAGTAGTTGAATAGATGCTGATTCCTGTAACTCTGGACTCCCATGTCCTTCTGTTTGCCACCTCCAGTCCAGTCGTACATATTTGCAGTGTTAACTTGCAGTCCTGCTGTTCAGCTTTAGGAGCTTTGTTATCCATCAGATTATTTCTGGCTTTGCCCCCCGGAGTTGGAAAATTGGATTTCCCCAATAATTCCAAGGCACTGCAGTGTTTTTCTTTTAATGTGTTTATTGAATATTCCGATCCCCAGGACTATATGAAGGTTCTGCAGAGCGCCTGATGTTCTGTCTTTCACCTGCTTGGTGAAAATTTGGCGTTGCCTGAGAATAGGAAGACCCTGCACTCTGTCCAGTGTTTTATCTTCCTCTTGTTCATTGAAAAGTTGGACGTCTCTGACGATATGAAGCCCTGCAGAGTGCCTGGAGACTAACACTAGTTCATTGAAAATTCTGATGTCCCTTTCAATACAAAAGCCCTGCAGTGTACTTGATGCTTTGTCTTTCACCTGCTTGTGAAAACTGGGGTTTCCATTTACTATTTAAAGACCCTGCACAGTTCCTGATGTATGTTCTTTGTCCGTGGACTCGACTGCGTTTTCCTGGACCTCAACATTTCTTGTCTTTAGTCTGAGAGCCATTTGGTTTTGGGTTTACTCCATTGTGAATTTAAATCTGCCAGGTAATTTCCAAACAGAATCTTATCTCTCTGCTAAGAGCCACTTTGGTTCAACACCTGTTGCTTTAAATGAGCAACAGAAACAACCTCTGACTTGACAACTTGAATATTTAAACTATATAGATCCACACATTCTAAAGGAAGGAATTATGTAGAGTTGCATCTATGCCATTTTAAAATAGAATGATATGTGGGGGAAAAAAATCTAAATATGTAACATTGGTGTATTAAAGTAATGACCAAAGAGGGGTCCAACCTTGTACTAACAAGGTGTACCTGATGAATTGGCCAGTGAGTGTACAAACCAAAAATTGTTTAAATATTTCCTATCTTTTACAGCTGGAAGAATGTTTTGCAGGAGTAATCAGTAAAAAGGTTTGAATTCACAACTTGTACACATGAGGACACCAGAGCAATCCCTGTATTGACACTGAAGAGTTTTGTTTAGAAATACATGTAAACAGAATATATAAATAGTTCTTGTATTACTTGGAAGGGGATGATGCTCCCTTGGCTATAGGAAGCAGGAAATAAGCCTATTTTAGTAACTCTGCTCCTTTCAGCTTCCACGAAGACATATCTGGTTCCCCAGAAGTACAGCTGTGATGCTTTTCCTTCCACTGCCTTGTTCAATAAATGTCAAGGCAATCAAACTTTAAAACTTTTGTGATGACATATTATGTGTTTTCTCACAAGATGGCATAAAAAAAACACAGACTTTAGATTCATCTTGTGGAATTTTGTCTTATTTTATTTTTTTCAAATCAACTGAGGTTTTCCTAATACTTGAGCACTATAACTGAAATCCACACTAAGTGGTGTCATGAGCCTTCACTTTCTGACTGGGTGCTTACTGTGTCTGTCTCTAAGCATTTCATTACTACACTCGCAGAAACAGACAGAGGTACACCCATTATTAAGGTTTAACATCTCAAAGGCAACTTATGACAAGTAATCAAACCTTGATAGCCTCTGTTTTAATACCAGTTATTTTGTAAAGGCACACATTGACTATAATTGTAGGAGAAAAAAAAAGTGCTGATAGGGCAGAATACATTTCTTTGTGTTTAGCTATGACGACATCACTGATCATGATATAGTGATTCACATCGGTCAGGGCTTCAGTTTGTGCATCACTGTTCAAACAATGAGAGTTCTCTGC